CTGGTTGATGTCCCTCGGAATGCATGGGGGACCCTCAATTAGGTTTTCGGTGGCATCCATGTCAGGGCGGTTGGCTGAGAAGATGGGACGAATTTAAAATTGGGAGAACAGGGGATGACGGAGGGGAGGCTGGTACCGAATGGCCCCGTATGTAGGCTCCAGGATACTTTGGGCCGATCGTCATGCCTGCTGTCCTGCAGCGGAATCCTAAGTCCCGGGCCCCTATATCTGATATTTCCCTGGCGATAATACCCGGGGCCACGCAGCACCTATCATGTCATCCAGCATTGGTCAACCACCACGGGACGCACGCACGCACGCGTGTTACCTCGAACCAACCCAACCCAACTCACCACGACCACGCAGTCTCGTGTCATTCTGGAGGGGTAGAACCCCCGTCTGGGCCGCCTCGTCAACGGCAACAGTAGGTAATGGGCTCGTGAGGGGTTACGACGATGGGGAAGGGTACCGAATCAACCATAAATGACTTGACTCCTGTGCGGCACTCACTCGTCAGCGTCGACGGTGCATTTGGAACGGGCCCCCTCCCCCGCCGTAGATGCTCGGCGACACCGTCCACGGTGTGCGACGTCAGTCTAGTTTACAATCCCCGATGGAGTCTCTGATTCTTCACACGGATGGGCTCGCGGGGTTTGGGAAATCTGTGCGGTTTTGGAGACCTCGTAGCAATCCCACTTCTGGGCTGTCAAAGCCGACGTTACATCGAAAGCGGTTGTATCGAGGGCCCGAGAACGCCACTGGTTCCCGCGGCGCTTTATCTGACGGGAGCGAAAATGATGCTGCTAGGGCAAGGAAACCAATCATCACGACACACCGCTGGGCTTGACACATTTCTTCTCGAGACCGACTCAGGCAAATAGACTGCAACGCATACACCGACTAGCTCGGCTGTCCTTGATACAATACAATGGCAGGCCATGCGAAGCTGGGGTCAGGAGAGAGAGGTGACGCACATCCGATCTCACCAGCGTCTAGACTGGCCCAGGAAGTCTTTGGTTCTGCTGAACACACTACCCGGCCAACTAACGGTGGTGCACTCGCCAACGCTAACGGGCCACGGCTTGTCAACCACCCGCCAAGGGTCTCTGGGCTAGGTAGGCATTCGGTCGGTGAATAGTGTATCGTCCCGCGCGCTTTGGCGGTGGGGTTGTCACGAAAGCCTGCGACGGCTCCACCGACCTGACGACGACCGCATCTGAATTCCGATGAGTCGGCCGCATGTGGCCAGCCACAGGCGCGGCGGGAAAAGAGAAAGTCGGTTCCTAACAGACATCGGACGAACCCCCACACCCTTGTTCGTGGCCACAGATAGCATCCGAGCCGCTGTGAAGGTGCTCGCAGAAGAGATGGCCCTAGCCCCTGGTTCTGACGGCACCTGTATCCGCACGCACATGTTCAAGCTTACATACCTACGTGCCTTCAAGCTTACATATGTGCCCGGCCGCTGCAGGGAAAGCTTGCTGGGCGCTGGATCTTGGGGACCTGACCGCCCGGTTGGCTAGCTTTTGGCGCCCTGCTCCACGCAAGTAGGTACCCCTCTTCGGGTTCATGCCGTTTCCTGGCAGAACAAAATGACGCGCCCCGTCCGGTCAAGCAATCCCCTCATGATCGTTCACAAGGTTACCAAATCGGACCAAAACGGGCCTGTGTGCGGATTGCCAAAGGATCTTGCATTGTCACGGATATACAAACGCTCGTGCGTTACGCGGCTGCCCGGCAGTCGGATCCCAACCTGTCAATGTCGTGAAGCACGGGTTGTTGCGAAGAAGGACGTCCTTTCCTACACCAGGCGGTCAATGTAACGTGGGCAAGCCTAGCGGATTCCAGATTCAATGCACTCGACACGTCTCCTTGGGGTCTTTGGGCTGTCGGGGGCATTTGGGTGACCCTGATCATTTCTTGGATGTCGCCACGGGCACGACGTCCTGGAATGGTCAAAATTACACCTACCGGTACGCAACAACAGGGGTCATGGAAATGGAGATGCTGCGTGAAAGTTGGCAGCAACCCATGTTGATCTCATTGGCAAACCTTGCCGACGAACCGTGTCGGGCTAGTTCTCAACTGAGCAATGATCTTAACATTCGAGGCATTTTTTTTTCCCCGGAGGACGGAGGAGTCTCCGATGCGATTGTGGACATGGTGGCCCTCGAGATCAGGCCATACCGACCTGCCTGCTGTTGTTTGATACCCAACTGGCCTCTTATCGAACCCAATGGGGTGCCGGGCTGGGGTACAACCATTTCGCGAACTCAGTGAGGGTAGACTCCCTGCTTCGACGTCATCAAGCTGGGAACATTTACAAGCCTTGTCGACGAGGCTGAGAGAGGGTTGGATGGCGATTAGCGGACCGCCAGTCAAGAAAGCTGCTCAGGCTATTTTGCCAGAATCGCCACGGGCTCGGTCTCGGCGCCTAGAACGTGCCCCAATATTGCAAGCGATCTGCTTAATAGTTTGTGCCGCATGGACTACGGCGGCACCTGTTCATCGGCGCCGCGAGATCTGCCACCAAGATGTAGGTTGTCGTCCATTTTATCGCTCGTGAGCAGCTACCGCCGCCGGCTTACTTGGCGTCCAAACCAAGAGGCACAATGGTGGACGGGACGGCAGTTTAGCCGGGGAATAACACTAGACGACATGTCTGGTCGTTGTCAACATTATCGACTCAGCCACAATGGCTTCGTGCTAGCCCGAGCGGGCCAACACTATTGAGCCTCCCGGGCTTGATATCGAGCCGGTCCGAGCGGCTTGGGACCTCATCATAAGCACGAGAGACGGCTTCATGACGGCTTCATGACGGCTTCTTGCCCGGGGCTTGTGGATGGCAGTCCGGCCTCCCCGCTTGTCTGATTGCCTGATTGTCAATTTGTCGCGCCGTGACCGTCGGAAAAAAACAATAGGAAACGTAATATCCCGACCGCGCCGGCGCGTGGCTGCTCCCGGCCGCCCTCCTTGGGCCCGTTCCTGAGTGCCAATAGCCCCGGATCTCGAATGCGAGGGCAAACGACTGGCTTCCACTGGCATGTGTTTTAGCGCCAGTAGAGCGGCTTTGGGAGGGGGTCGCTGGGTTTAGTCTCTCTCGTCGGTATAGCAAATGTAAAGCCCAAATGCCTAGTACATGAGCTAGCTTTAATGACCACAACCTCACAATATCGATACGATAGTGTCAAAGCATCCTTCATGGCGATATCTGTTCCTGCCCCAGACTATCTTCTCACAGACCCGGACCGTGGTTCCTCGGAGATATTTCCCCTTGGGATAGGCGTTCCCCTTCCCTTTGCCATTCCCATACTATCGTCAAGCCACCTCCGCGACGGCATGGTGGGTGGCGCTACTAAACCCAACGGGTAGATGTCAAGCAAAGCTGAGAGAGAGGGACGGGAGGCAAAGAGGAGACGGGAAGAAGTCTCCGTAGCACATGCCCCCCTCTCCCTCCCTTTTCTCCATGCAACCAAGACGAACTTCCCGGGAAATAGGACATTTCGCTTATCGAGTCCCAGTAGGTTCTGGCCATGTCGTGACACGAAGATTTAGAGAAGGGGAGGGGCGTGGAGGAGCCCGCGGCGTTGTCCAAGAACCGCCGGATCTAGAGGCAAACGGCGTCCGCTCAGTACAGCCCTCCGCACACCCACCCCCTTCGTGACAGCTGAGCATCGATTTCCTCCTCTTAGCCCGCGGCCGTCGGGTGCCTGTGTTGCATGGCCCATCTTCATGACCGTGGGTACCCCGAGGCCGTGACAGCCCGGGGCGGCAGTCGGGACGTCCGCGGTCAAAAAGGAACACTTGTGCCCCGTCGTCAACGCCCGAGCCCCTGACCTCCTCCCCTCTGCGGTGGCCCTTCCCAGGAACCAGCGGCGGGAGCCAGCAGGCTTTCACCATCGGCCTCACCTCAGCCTTCCTCTCCCTCTCCCAGCCGCCTTGGAGTGGACGGCTACCCGCAGCCTCGGGGCCTGGAGTGGCAGCGCAGCGGAAGCGGGGGATGGGGGACAGGACGTGGACGGGACTGTGCGTGTGCCAGACGCCCGGGGGTGCCACTGATTGGGTTACCAAGGTCACCGAGAATCTCGTTCTGCAGGCTGCCGTTAGGTCTGGGACAGAGTACCCGAGGAAGAAGCCGAGCTCCATCTCCAATTTGCCAACGGAACCCCCCCCCCCAGAGGGTAGGTCTCGGACTTCATCGAGCCTCGTCCACGAAGACGGGTTCACGACGACAAGGCACATGGCACATGACGAGGAAAGGTTTCAGTCTTCCTTAGAGCTGGCTGTCCAGCGGCGTGTTCGCCCCTATCTTGTCCCGCCTCTTGTTCTTGCGCTCGATCCCGTCGTATATCCCGAGCAGACCACGGCATCGTGCCATGCCAGTTTACCCTCCTGACGGCTCTTTCCCCGTCACTGGTCCGACAGTGGCACGGTGACAATTCAATCAAAGAGGTTAGCCGCGTAAGCCGCTGTGTCCGCGACAGTCTCTGCAGGTTTCATCGGGAACCCTTGCGTGAACTGGTCAGGCACGGAAGCGTGGGCATCACAGATACCACTACTACGCGGTGCTCACCCCATCACATAGCAACGTGGGAGAAGAGAATGGGCTGAGCTGGACATGGAGATGATTCACTACAATGTGACGCCCGAACAATGTCTCAACAGGACAATAGTGCAGAAAACATGTTGATAATGCAAATTAAATCAATACATATAGACATGGATACGTTGCACGCAAAAGCGTGCTGGATAGTACATGTCTGGGACGCTCGTCCCACGCGCTCGTCCCACGCGCCCGAGACACCGTAAAACGCCGAACCAACCGAGGCCTAGTTCCCCTGCACAATGCCGCTTCCCTTTCGTTACATGCATTTTCGTTGTAAGAAGCGGTTTCCTCGGTATATGATGTCGATCGAGATGTCTGAGTTGAGTAGTACAAAAAAGCAAGCGCTCGCAGATGTGCCTATGCAAAGAGCACATCGCAGAGTAGTCGACAATGTTTACAGCCGGCTCTCGATGGGAGGGAAGGGCTCCGCGCCGGGCCACTGAGAGTCGGGCCACACGAGCCGGATGGCCTCCCAGACATGACTGAGGTGAGACAAACGTCAGTGGCACGGTACATTAAGCAGAACAGTCCCAGGACCGGGGGTTCAAGAGTTGTTGAATTGGCCGCACGGCATCGGGAGGACGACGACAAAAGTGTAGACGGTTGGTGATAGGGGGTACAACTTCAAGAAGCGACGGGTTGGGCTACACGAGACAAGGGGCAGGGCGCTAGACTTACTTGACATGGAGGATCTCCAAGCCGTCCTTGACCTCCTGGGGAAGATCTTTCACATCCTTCCGATTCTGCGCGGGGAGTAGCACCGTCTTGACGCCCGCTCGGAGGGCGCCGATGAGCTTCTCCTTGATGCCTCCGACGGCAGTAACACGGCCCCGCAATGATATCTCGCCCTGTGGTACAACATGTTGTGTCAGTGAACCGGTTCTCTGATGGTCATCTCGTTACTCAAGGGATGCTTACCGTCATGGCCATTGTAGGAGGCACAGGCTTGCCAGAAAACAAGGAAATGAGGGCAATCGCTTGTGCCATACCACTGCTGGGGCCGTCCTTCGGGATCGAGCCCGAGGGGCAATGGACATGGATGCTGCGCTCCTTCATGATATTGGCAGTCGGCTCCGAGGTCAAGCCCAGCTCGTACGCATGGGCCTTGACCCAAGACAGAGCGACCTCGACGCTCTCCTTGAGCACGTCTCCCAGCTTACCGGTAAGCTGCACACTGCCGTTTCCAGGCATGTCGGCAACCTCGATGAACAGGATGCTACCGTTGCCGCCCGAGCTGTACGCCACCAGACCGGTAACGATACCAGGTTTGCTCGTCTTTTCGGCGATTTCCTCCTCAAACTTCTCGATGCCTAGGATTTCCTCAATGTCCTCAACCGTAAGCTGCGGCCTGTACGTCTCAAGCTGTCCTCCGTCCTTGGCCTCAGCGAACTCAACAGCCTTGGCACGACAGACGGAGCCAATCTCGCGCTCAAGGTTCCGAACCCCTGATTCACGGGTGTATGATTCGATAATCTTGGACACGACCTCCTTGTCAAAGCTGACCTGGTCCTCCGAGAGTCCGTTGACCCGGATCTGCTTGGGCACGAGGTGCTGCATTGCAATGTGGCGTTTCTCAAGGGTCGTGTAGCCCGGCAGATAGATTGTCTCCATTCTGTCCAGAAGCGGGGCAGGGATGGTGTCCAGACTGTTGGCGGTGGCGATGAACAATACCTTGCTCAAGTCAACGGGCAGGCCAACGTAGTGGTCCGTGAACGAGTTATTCTGCTCGGGATCCAGGACCTCAAGCATGGCTGCGGACGGGTCCCCTTGATGGTTGGACATGCCCAACTTGTCAATCTCGTCGAGGAGGAACACAGGGTTCGCCACGCCAACCTTTCTCAAGCCTTGGACAATGAGACCGGGCATGGCTGCCACGTAGGTCCGTCGGTGACCACGAATCTCGGCTTCGTCTCTGACACCGCCAAGCGAAATACGATGGAACTTCCTGCCGAGAGCTGTGGCGACAGACCTGGCCAAACTCGTCTTGCCCACACCAGGCGGGCCGGCCAAGAGCATGATGGGTGACCTGTCGACCATTCGCTTCGATCGAAGTACATCGATCTTGGTGTTTGCCAGCTTCGTCCGCTCCTCCAGATCGGCATCGGCGGCCTCCTTCTTCTCGGACTCTTCCTCCTTATCGGATTCGGGAGGAACCGCTTCTTGCTCTGCCTTCTTGATCTGCTCATCGACATCGTCGTTGATAGACTGCTTGAGCCTTAGCACGGCCAGATACTCAACCAGCCGCTTCTTGACCTTGTCCAGACCATAATGATCCTCATCCAGCTGCTTTCGGGCTCTGGCGAGCGTGTCAGGTCCCAGTCTGTCGTCTGTAGTCACAGACCAGGGAATCTCAGCAAGCACGTCCAGCCATGTCCGAGTGACCTGGTACTCTTGGTTGCCAGGCATCATCTTCTTGAGCCTCCGCAGTTCCCTCTCGGCCATCTTGGCCGCTTCAGGTGGGAGTCTAGCCTTATCCAGCTTCTTCTTGAGCTCTTCCAACTCGTTGGGCTCCTGTTCCTCGTCTTGGTTAGGGCCCATGACGCCGTTGGGGCCAGGTGGAAACATGGTGTTGGGCGGTAGCGGGGCGCCGTTGGGTCCGACGCGGCGGGATGTCTTGTCGTTGAGCTTATCGAGGAATTGCACAGGAACGCTGGTGAATGTGGTGATTTTGAAGTTGTTCTTGATACCGCTGACCTGACGGTCCAGCAGCTCAATAACCTTGGCAAGGCGGACCTTGACGTCGAGGGCTGCCAGAACCTCAAGCTTCTCCTCGTATGATGCCTCGACAATGTTGGCCATGAAGTCGGCAAGCTGACCGGCGTCTTTGAGCTCCTTCTTATTGATGAACATCTCAAGCCGCCGAGTCAACAGGGGGACAAGCCACCGGGACTATCTGGGCTTCTGGGAAGGAGTGCGGATATGCGGAGGATCGTTACGAGCTCTCGTGATCGCAACTTGAGGAGGGAAAAGAGTTCTTGCATCTGGGCGTCCGTCGCAACTATGAAGAATGTTAGCCTGTGTGGTACGATCGACGGTGTCCGGAAAGAGACGGTGCACTAACCTTCATCATAGAAGTACTTGACCTTGGCCTCAAAGTGTGGCCTCTCCTGTGTGACCTTCTCGACACGGATTCTCGCAATGCCCTCTACACGTAGGGCGAACTCGGCCGTACCCCTCCCCTCGATGCCGGTGATCCGGGCGGCGACGCCATAGTTGAAGAGATCGGCCTTGCGGGCGGTACCCGGGTCGACCTCCTTGATCAGGGACTCGTCCATCTGGTCGGCATCTTGGATGAGGAGTTGGCCATTAGGGCCAACGAAAGGGGAGGAGACGGGAACGCAAGCGATGGGGACGGCGTCGATACGCTCGTTCGGTGCGGCGGAGGCGGCGCGGGTGTAAACGTTGGCGAGGAGGGCGGGGATGTCGGGACGGGCGGCGGTGACGGGGATGCGCTGCGCGACGCCTGGCAAGAGGATGGTGCCACGGGCCAAGGGGATGACGGGGAGGGTCTTTGTTTGGGATCGCGCCATGTGGAAGTCGGTTAGGAGTTGTCGCGTGACGTGGGCTGATGTTGGTTTACGTGCACCTCGTATGGTGACGGTTGGGGGATTATCGGTGGAGATTGACGGCAGGCCGATGTCGTTGTGGATGGCGTCGGGTTATATACGATGAAGGATGAAAGAAACGTAGGTTAAGTGAGGCGAGCTGATGGGTGTATGATGAAAGGCAGTCGCAATGGTAGTCGCAGTAGCTGTGGAAGAAGAGCAGATGGGGGACGTTTTGGGTTTTGGGTTTGATAGTGCGTTGGGATGGATGGGATAAAGACAATGTCAGAAGCAACAGTCAAGCCAACGCCTCCAGTCCCGAGAACCAGAAGAGGAGCTCCCCCAGTCGCGGTACTGCAGTCTCCAGACTGATGAAGCGTGCAGTGGTTGGTGGGTGCAGTCCCAGCGGTCCAGTCGCCATCGAAGCCGGTGTGGGGGCGCTGTTGGTGCGGGAGCCTCCGCAATGGAGGTCAGCCGAGGCTAATCGGCGCAGTGACAACCGCCACACCGGGCCCCGAACGTGGAGAGAAACTCATGGAAGATCTCGAGCGGTCAGGGTCTTGCCATCATATTTGTCGTGATCAACGCCAAAACTTGTCTGTAAGTAATGCGTGGGTTTTCCTTTCCGTGTAAAAGACATTTTACTAGACACTGTTGGTAAGACATGGGCCGATGAACTACTGGGTGTGCATTTTGAGTGTCAAGACAACGTGAAATAGACCCCGGATACATGGTAACAGCAAATGTTGAGTTATATTCATTGCCGTCGGAATTGAACAGTTGCTGCTTTTCATCTAATTGTCAATAAGCTTAGTGGTTTGCGAACAACCATGGAGGCCAAGTGAGGTATCGGTATCTACTCACATGAACTTCAAGGTCCCTCAGTGAACCAGGTGCTGACATCAGTCGCGTCCCGATAACCGGAATCCCTGCACAGACGGGAACCCGCCCATCTTGATTATGTCATCTAAAATACCAACCCACTGCACCATGAGCTTTCATCCAGTCATGGTCTAAACGCGGGGCAGCAGCATTCCATAGTGGGCGTGCACATCAATTAAACTCCCCCGTCGCGTCGCCAGGCAAAAAGACGCGTCCCGACCAAAACCATCACCGCCCACCACCCACCTCCGTACCAACCTACCAACGATCCGCCCTTCCACCTCACGACCCCGCGACCTACAGCCATCACTCGACTCCTTCAGATATCAAAGAAACAATGAGTATGTCCTCTTCGCCTCCCAAAGACAAACCAGTGCTCAAGCTAACCACCCCCGCGCAACAGCTTCATACGGCGGGTTCACGAAAACAGCCTATGGCGCCCAGGGCGGCGACGACGCCGGCGGCTTCGTCTACGGCGGCTCCCAGCAGGGCAGCCAAGGCGGCGGCAAGGCCTACAGCGAGGAATCCCTCCGTCCCGTCACCATTAAGCAGATCATCGACGCCGACGAGGCTTACCCGGGCGCCGATTTTAAGATTGACGGTGCCACCGTCACACAAGTCAGTCTCTGCCGTCCCTGAGCATGCCTGCTTCTGATGAGCCCCTCTTTTCGAGAACCATCCAGCTGACCTCCGACTTTCCCGTCTACAGGTAACCTTTGTAGCCCAGATCCGCCAGATCTCCCCGCAACCGACAAATATCACCCTCAAGCTCGACGACGGCACCGGCCTCATCGAGGTTAAGAAGTGGGTCGACACGGACAAGAAGGACGACGCCGACGCCAACCTCGAACTCGACGGCCACGTCCGCGTCTGGGGCCGTCTCAAGTCCTTCAACGGCAAGCGCCACGTCGGCGCCCACTTCATCCGCCCCGTCACCGACTTCAACGAGGTCAACTACCACCTCCTCGAGGCCACCTACGTCCACCTCTACTTCACCAAGGGCCCGCTGAACGGCGCGGGCGGCGCTGACGGTGCCAACGGTGCTGGTGGTGGTGGTGGTGGCGATGGCATGTTTGTCGACGGCGGCGACTCATACGGCGGTGGTGCCGGTACCGGTGCCGGCGGAAACTCCGCGCAGGCTGGCAAGCTCAGAGGATGCTCGCCCGCCGCGCAAAAGATGTTCAACTTCATCAACAACGCTCCCGGCGGCAACGAGGGCGTCCACCTCAACCAGATCTCGAGCGGGGCCGGCATCAGCATGCGAGACGTGCTGGCGGCGGCGGACGAGCTGCTCGGCCAGGGCCTGATTTACACGACGATTGACGACGAGACGTGGGCCATCCTTGATTACTAGACCATCAAAAAGAAAAAACAAGTGTCTCGGGGAACAAGGGAGTGTGTGTGTGTGTGTGTGTGTGTGTGTGTGTGTGACCATTTCGTCAAGAGAATACGGCGGAGTACGCGGAAAAGGGACCCCCGAAGGGTTCCATTGACTTTTGGGCCAAAAGGTTCAGCACAGAGCTGATGAATTTGTCACAACACAGGCGGAAACGGAGGCGCGCGCGGAACAACCGCGACTCAGTGATATGAATGATATGATTGAATCGGTCAGTGTTCTAATGAATGGCTAGAGCTAGTCGGTAGATACAAGCAAAACTGAAAGCAAGAAACACAAAAACATTTGTAAAAAATAAAATAAAAACTCTGAAGAAAACTAAAAACAAAAGAGTAAAGCATTTCATCGCCGCTGCGCTAGAGACAAGCGGGTCGAGTCTGCGCCAGGTGTTGAACCGGACACCGCGCCCATCGTGGGGATGTTGAACTCTTGGGCTGTGGTCAGCATGAGACACAGGCGCAAGCCCAGAAGGACCGCTATCGAACAAAACGACAACTTTCCAAGAGATTTTGCACAACAAAAAAACAAGAGCACGTCACCAGTTCCACGCGGTACCGGAATTGGACAGGCCGGATGGCTGACGGGTTCCGGGCAGGCCCCAATCAAACCCGCACCGTCTCCTTCCTCACGGCATTGATCTGCATCTTGATGTTGCTCGAGACTACGGTGGAGTAGGTGTGGCCGCCGCCCGCCTTGCGCGGGCACGGCTCGCGGACCATGATGAACAGGCTGACGGGGGTGTCCCCGCGAGTCAGCCGGATCTCGCGCTTGTACTCGAACCCAAACTTGCGGTAGTACGCGTTGTTGGATAGAGAGCTGGACTCGAGGTAGACGGCACGGTTTTCCGCGTCGGCCTGTGCGTGTTAGTCAAAAGTTTTTTTGGCTAGCATACCTGACACATTTTGACGAGATCTCTCTGATCAAAACTGGCAGCAGAGACGGGGCTTCGGGGAGAAGCCCAAAGCATCAACATACCCTCTCAATCATGTCGTTGAGCAGCTTCCGCGCATACCCCTTGCCCCGGGCGTTGGGCTTGGTCCCTAAGTAGACCAGGTAGTAGCAGTCATTATCCCGCTCGCCCATGACCTCGAGCTTGGTATCATGCAACAGGGGCAGCAGCTCGTCGTAATAACGACGCCTGGCCTCCACTGTGAGCTGGAAGTAGAGTCGCCACAAACCACTGCGGAGGATGGTCCACCACCCGTCAGCGTCCTTTCCAGGAGGCATCCTGTACAATCCGTCTAGTGTTAGCTCGGGTTTGTCATTGTTGGGGTTGGCCAGTGATTTTACAGAGGCTCCGTAGGGATGGGTCGTCAAAGATACTGGGCCCTTGCTTGGATGGGAGTTTTCAACACGGAAGAGAACTCACCACAAAGCCACAGCATCGTGGTCCGGACCGATGGTGGTGACAATGCCGTTGAGGCAGTGGGCGGCTGCAATGTAAACCATGATGTCGACGTGCAGCTTCCATTTAGACTCGGCCGACAGGGTCGCCATGTCATCGGCGTCGAGAAGATACTGGCTAAGATCATCAGCAGCAAAGGCATGGGCCAGCGAGAGGCCGGCCTCCTTGCACTCCGACATGCCAATGACACGCACGGTATCCTCCCACTTCGGGGGCACGAGGGAACGTTTGAGTTCAACGAGGGTGACGCTTTTGCTTACGTGCTCCATGACGGGCTTCTTTCCAGAGGGGCCTGTCTTGTTCACGAATCTGGACCAGTATCAGCATCGGGGGCCCGTCGCGGTGGGGGGTCCTGTTAGCGTGCGACGACGTACTTAAATTCTGTATACTATCGCCCGTATGTACTCTCGAGAGTTGGGTTCTCGAGACGGGCATAAATCTGGATGGGTGACGCAGGCAATTGAGGCTTGTACGAAGGTCAACCGACATCAATAATGATTTCGACGGGTTAAGTCTTTGGACTGGGTTTTGTGGGGGTTCGAGGTGTAGAAAGGATGTCGTCAGCAAGACGCGGGAGACAACAACGTCTTCACGATATGCGATGAGCGGGATGGTTTTGGTTGAAAGGGTATTGTCAGGCAGGACGTCAGACGACGGTAATGGGAGAGGTAGTTGAGAGAAGGTTTGAGTGGAAGCTGGGATTGATTGTAGTCGAGACGATGAGTAGCAGTCTAGCAACAAAGCACAGCTGACGGCTGTGATCTTGTCCAGAGATCTGCCCCCCGGTTCTTGGGGCCTTCGAGATGAGGAACTCTCGATGCAGAAAGGACTTTAATCCTTATCCTTGCCTTGGTAGGAAGCCAAACAATGTGTGTGTTTGAGTTGGTGAGAGCCTATCCAGAGTATGTGATAACAAGACAAGGAGAGGAGAGGAGCGGAAGAAGGGGTCAGTTGGGAGCGGAGAGGAGATGGGGATTATGTAGCCGGACAAGTGTCACTAGACGTACTAGGTACAAGGAATAGTAAGCATTGGGTGAGAGGGAGAGTGAGACAGGAAGCTGGGACGACGGGAAAGGTGGAGGTAGTGGAGAGACAAGGAGTTCTTGCGTGGGATGAGCTGCAGAGAGATAGCTGAGAGGCTGCGGCAGCCGTCGAGCGTGGGATGTTGAGACGAGCTGCAGAACCAACTAAACACAGCCGTGCGGATGCACAGGTTCTATCGCATATGCAGTGAGCTGATGGCTATGAGACGTCGCTTGCCCTATCGTAACCGGATGATCGAATATGACGAGAACGGCAAGCCGACCATCAATGACGCCTGGCCAGGGGGGGGGGGGGGGGTTCAGAGTAGGCCGCTTGCACCGACAACATGCGGGCAACTTTGCCTTTGGTATCCGCCTTGGCTTGCCTCAACACTAGCCAGAACCTTGCTAATGGACTCAGACTATTGGGATATGCCGTAATGGGGGAGGCACGAGGACAGCGGCGTATAAGCTGATGAGGGGAAGTCGGGCTAGGATGACCTGGGCTGCAGTTCGAGAAACAGAGGACCGTTGGCTATGGATGAGGCATGTGTTCGTGTGCCGCGCAAGCACTGGTGGTTACCATCCGGGCCTGGCATGCACGGGTATGCAGGTCTAACCAACGCCGTCCGACCCCCTACTGCACAGGAAGCGGCGGCTAAGTGGCTAGGCCTGGTTGAGGAAGCTGTTGAGGAGTGCGAGTGCCGTACGATGCATTCTCACTGTGTTTCTTGGGACGGGGGGATGAGGTGAAGCGGCGGGCTCACAGCCGGTGTGCGGGGAACGGCAGGCCTGCCAGACCCTGTCGTTGGGTCAGGTATCCTAGGGATTGTCGGTCGAGTGCATCCTGTGCCCTGTATCTGGGGGGATCAACCAATGCAAATCTTCAAGCCTGGCCAATCGAAGCGGCTGGACATGCCAACAACGGCCTAGCTCACCGAGCCGTCGTGTGGCGTGGCCAAGGTGTTCCACTGCTCCTATCAGCTCCGTCCTGGGGCCACGGCGCTCCCCGGACGACGGTGTCCGGGCGCACCGTGTGGCGGCCCCGTACCCCGCGGCCGCCCCATCCTGACAGAGGCGGGCTCGGGTTCCGATCCAAGCTTGTCCCAACAAAGCTGCCTTACTACACATACCGTGCAGGCGTCTTCGGGCGATGGTCCTTGGTGCCTGGGATGCTCTGTTGGTCCATTGCGACGTGGGGACGAGTCGGGAATGTTTGCTGAGATAAGGGTTCCACGACCAACAGGGTAGAGTGATAAGCCAAACCGGCATGGCATCAAAGCCTGCGCACGTGGGGTGCATATGCAGTGATATGCCAAGTTCCAAGGGCGAAGGATCGCCTCACTGTTGCCCCGTTGGGGAGGCACTGTGCCTTTTCATATTGCTACCTTCGTGGGTGTCAGATCGTTTGTGTCTCACCACTCTCGACCTAAAAGCTTGTGGCCTTATGTTTTGGTCTCGGTCGAAGTTATTGCGTCGTGTTGGCGGGAGCGGGCTTGGCGATGATGTGTCTCTTCACCCCTCGCCAAACGCCGTTGTATGGCACTGCTTGCTCGGAAATCGTGAGTCGTTAGCTGCTACAGGTCACGCCCGGGAAGCCAAATGCGGGGGAGCCTCTGCCAGAAAGGGCAGAGATTCATCGGCAATATGTGAACGAATGCTATTGTAAGCTTGGAGCAAACAGATCGTGAGATCGCTCGCTAGAAGCAAGTGTTATGCGAGAAGGTCCTGTGCTTTTTGTTTTTCAGAGGACCTGTGGTACGACACGACATGGGGAACAACGTGACAATGCGTCAAACTACGTACTGAATCTTGCGAGACACAAATTGAAAATGTCAAGGGGTTGACGGTCATCCAGTATCGGTAGTCGTCCGCAGTTTGCTGAAATTGCCGATCTCGGTGAAAAGCAAGGGCGGTTTGCACTACTCGCAAAGCAACACCGTGTCTCTCAAAGGCCAAGGGCAACCTCCAGGGTTTATACTGCTGGTTTCAAAGGAGAACAGCTGGTCAATGTGTGGCACAGAAGTGAGTTGAAGGTCGGCAGACAACAAAAGAGTAGTGACTCGGGTCGGGAGAAGCTCGCGGTCTTTGAGAAACATCATGTTACTTTGGAAACCGGCAATTACGAAACCCTGTGGAAGGTCCAAATTTTTGAGGGCCTGCCCGTCTTCAAAATCCGTCACACGTCGCCCAGCAGGCGAGGCTCCTCTCTTTCCTGCATAGTGGAAGCAGGTCACAAATCCTGAGATCGGACTCCTCACATCTGCCTCGTTTGCTCCAAAACAATCGTCTGTGCGGTCCGTAATATTTCCAGCTCGTCTAAAGCTGAATGACCTCGATATTTAATTTGATAAAACGAGCAATATTGCCAATCTGCACGGGAGAGATAATGCTCCGAGGCTTTCGGGTCCAACCATCCATCCCTTCCTTCGGAGAAGAGGAGAGAAAATTTCCGAACAAAGCAAAGTGGTTCTCCAAGTGGTTCTCCAAGCGGTTCGGGTGAATTTGAAATTCGCCGGCGGAAATGCTACATGAAGTTGAAAGAAGGTTGAAAGGCTTAAACGCCGGATGGGATTCGCTTTCTTGAGCCGCAACAGCCTGTCTAAATACGGCTTACCACACAACCGCGTTCCGGGTTAAGCAATAATTACTCCGCACACAAACGAGTTGCTCGATCTTGACAACTGAGTCAACATCTCAGTCAGATTCGTTGCTTTCAAGGCTTTGACTGTGCCCACCTTGTCGTGCGCGGAAAGTGACCCCAGAATCGAGTTACAACATTTGTTCCTCGATTCTGATCATCGCTGTTCGTATATTCATATCTTCAAGAAGGAACAAGTCCTTAGAGACGAGCAGACCCGGAAAAGCTGTCCCAGTTGATGTTCCTGCGTGTGTACAATCAAAGGCGTGACCGTACAGTCATATTTCGCACCATACAGACAACTTACATCCGCCCGACAATAAAGCGTTCTAAGTAAGGTTCGGCACTAGAGATGTCTAGTATGCTCGGAGAATTTGAACAATAAGGACTTTATGATAGATTTAGATCGTTCTTCTGCTGAGTGGTTCTTTCAAACATTTCCAGGGCCTCGTTGTTGGCAGACCTAGTGACTTCGCTGTATCGATGACGTTATCGAATACATCAAAGAACCCCAAATGGACTTCGGTGGAATACCAAGCCCACCTCAGGTGCATTTCGCCCTGGGCTTTCTCCCTCGTGTACCCTCCTCTCGAGCTCGCCGAGTGCCTCCCGCGTACCCAATGAGGTGGTTCTTTCACCGCATGGCATGGTCATCGAGGACTGCGCCGGGCCCGGAGACTTGATGGGCAAAAGCCTCCGTTCGGAGACTTTCGGTGAAATTTCCCCAACACGCTTCTTTGGATGTCCTGTCCTTTCCGGTTGCCGGGGCTGTCTTCGGTGTATATTTTGATCAGTTAGGTATCCATCTAGGCCGACGGCACCGGGCAATCTGTAGGGTTCACGCGGCGGTCACACGCTCCTTGAAAGCCATGCGCATCTCCGGGTAGCGTCCGCAGCATCAAAACCTGTACATAATCGACAAACGACACGGCCATGGGCTTCACTTGCATAGGGAAATTTGGGGTATGAAACTTTTGTCAATCAAAATGGCCACCAGCCAGCGCCCCAAGTCGTATTCATGTGATAAAAAAAGGGGGATATCTAGGTGTAACAAAATCCAGAAGAAAAATAAGAGGGCGCGCATCAACAACAATACCCCTTGGTTGGGGGGCCACATGACAGCAAAACTCCACGTCTAATGCTCTCTCTCCAGATGCTGTCCCGGATCTTCACGTTCCACCGAGACCAGTAGCACCCCTGCCGCAACCACAAAGACTCACACACGGCTTGTCGGTTTGTCTCTTCACATGCGGCGGATCTCCTGCTCGTTGGTGTACTTCTCAAGACCGTTGTCGAGGCTCTGCCACCACTCAAAGAGCATGGACTCGCAGATGAGCTTGAACCAGGGGGTGAACTTGAGGGTGGGGTCCTGGAAGAGCTTCTTGAGCTCGTCGGCGCTGACGTACTGCGTCGCCTGGACCTCGTTCTTGTTGATGTCGAGGTCGACCTTGGCCTTGATGAAGAGGATGTAGTCGACTGTGTTCTTGTCAGCACGGTTCCCAGCATGTCTTGTTCGCCCTTGTCCACCCAACGGGGTGACGTACTCTCGTGCTCTCCCCACTTGCCGTCGCTCGGGGCCTTGTAATGGATCCTCGTGAGGAAGTGGAAATCCTCAAAGGGACCTGGCCGGGGTTGATGCCCAGCTCGTGCTCCAGCTTCCTCTGCGCCGCGCGCTTCACGCCCGCGACTGAGTCCTCGAGGTTCGAGCCCGTTTCGCCGGGGATGCCCAGCGGGTGGGAGCAGCACGTGTTGGTCCACATGTCGGGGAAGGTGATCTTCTCCGAGGCGCGCTGCTGCAGGAGCAGGCGGTTGTCGGCCGGGTCGAAGAGGAAGACGGAGAAGGCGCGGTGGAGGAGGCCCTTGTCGATGTTGGTCATGAGGTGGCCTGCAGTCGGTCTCGGTCAGCTGGGTTACTTCTGGTTCGTATATGCGCCGCCCGTGGGACTGGGAGCGCGAGGGAGGGAGGCACTCACAGGCCTTCTTGCTGGCGTTGCCAATGGGCTTGTCGTTCTCGTCCAGCACGATGCAGACCTCGTCCATGAGGCGGATCTGCTCGGCGTCGTGGCCAGAGAGGGCCTCGGTGCTGGTGTCGATGTCAGGGAAGAGGCGCAGGATGGACTCGGCCGTGATGGCCTCGTTGGTCGTCGTCGTGGTAGTGGTCGCCATTATTGCTGTTCGTTCTGCCTCTTTGTGCGTTGTTCGCGTGTCAGCCTCCAGTTCCAATGCTCAATCTTTTTTGCATGCAGTGTTGCAGGGACAGGCAGGATGGCATGCGCGCACAGAGGGATCGGGAGGGGAAGCGTTACCTTTAAATATATATACGGAACGTGACAAAACCTTTCAAGGTACCAATCGGAGCCACAACCGTCCAGGGAAAAAAGGTGCGGAAGTGCGAAACGCGCAAGGAACGAAGCGTCTTCTGGAAGGGTTTGTGGGATGGTTGTGGTCAGTCGCTGGGAGGGGAGCAAAAAAGGCGGCGAAAACGAAAGAGAGAGGAGGGGTCTCCGAGCTCGAAGCGCGACAAGATGAAAATGAGCCCCTCACACCCCTGCACACGCCATTCGTTCCCCCCCGATGCGGGACCGCGCCTATTTGGTTGCTTGTCACCGTCGCCGTTGTTGTCCCCCAATCTCCTGCCCCCCTGGTCAGTTTGTTTGGTTCGCCGCTTTGGCCATCAAACGGTCCCTGGCAGGCAAGCTTCGCATCTCAATAGTGTAGTGTAGAGGAGGGTGGGAGGGGTAGACCGGAGCGGAGACTTTAGCCACGGAAAGTCTGAAAGTCTCCATAAAGTACATACACACACACAGCAACCGCCTGACTGCGACATCCTCCTTCAGCACACCAAGCTCCTCCTAGCTTCTTCTTCCTCGATGCTCTCACCGCTACCCAAGAGACCGGAGACTTTGGCAACGGAGTCAGATTGACCCCACGCCGATTGGAGTCGAGTCTGCTCCGGTTCCCGAAACCCCGTCCCGGGAGGCGTGTGTAAGTGCTGCTTAGCATGTTCCCGAGTTCGTGCGGGCCACCACGGACGTCCGTCACCATCAGAGCGGATGGGCCCACAACGTCACAAGACATGTCAATGGCATGTCGTCGATTGCCTTTCCTGGAACACATGAGCGAGAACAGACTCCGAAAATGCAACGACCGAGCCGTGTTTTGTATCGTATCGTGTCGTGCTGTTGTATCCTTCTCCCGCTCCCTGGACGCCACTCATGCCTTGCTCGATGGCCTGCTGGCTCGGAATTGTTTTGGAAAAAGAGAGGAAGAAAGCCCCTACGCTACAGACGCTCTTATATGCAACATGACACCGTTCAGTATTAACAATCGCAAGTAATCCGCATGCGCGCATGCCTCACAAGGCTTTTGACATCCGACCACAGATGACACTCTCGTGCCCAAGCAAGACGATAACTCCGGATACCAGGTATCATCAAGGAAAACCTCGGCCAAGATCATTTACTCGGCCTGGTTCCTCGCGTCTGCCTCCTTGGCCGCCTTGTCCCAGTCGGTAAGGTACACAAACGCATACTCAATGAATGCAACCCTGTATTGAAATATCACTCAGTCAGCCAAGATCCGCATGTACACCTTGCCTCCTCTCTCATCCCATCTCCGAGAAGTTTGAGGAACGACGTTTCAAAAGGGCACAACACTTACAACGCAAGCCCAACCGTGACACCCAGCCACAGTCCCTTGAGCTTCCACCCCAAGCCAAACGCCGTCCCGAAAGACAGAGGGATGGCAATGAAGTAGTACACCGCGATGTTGGCATACCCGCCAATGGACGGGCGGCCGATACCACGAAGCAGCCCGTGGGCGCCCGCGCTGAGGCCGTCAAACACCTGCATCATCGCGCACAGCGGGAGCACGTCGGCCACGATGGCGATGACTTCCTCGTCGTTGGTGAAAAGGCGCGGCAGGTGGAACCGCAAGCTGCCAAACAGGATGACGTTGAATATGCCCACAATCAGTGCTGCACCGAACGCCTGTCGAATCAGTTAGAATCTCTCCCTGGAAACCTGCGGCCTGAAACCAGGGCTTCCCCAGCATCGAGGAAGGGAAGCGATGGGGCAAACTTACCACTGCGCCGGTAGTCTTGGCGGCATCCACCAGCCCGGCACCGATGAGGTTGGCGATTCGTGTCGACGCTGCGATACTCACGGGAACGGAATCTGGTAAGTGATGGCGCACAGTGTGACCACGACGCTCTGCGCCGCGAGGTACGACGGCCCAAAGTGGCTCGAGAACAAGGTCAGGACCTCAAAGGCCATGTACTCGGCCTCGATCATGATCATGCCAGGCAGCGCCAAGCGAAGCATTGGGCCCCAGTTGGTGAAGGCCCGCTTGCTGAAACCGCCCCAACACTGGTACCCGTTGACGAAGCGGACGTAGAGGAACAGTAGCAGCGGGAGAAGGTTCTGCGTGCAGACGACGGCGGTGGGGGCCCCGACGAAGCCCCATCCCAGCCTCCAGACAAACAGCCAATTCAAAAAGATGTTGATGGGTGCTGCGATCAGGAGAACCCACGTGGTCGCCTGAAACAGACCCTGCGCCTGCACAAACCGTTTGCCGGCCTCGAAGCAGACGAAGGCCGGCCCGCCCAGGATCATGACCCGCAGGTACTGTCCCGCCAGCCGCGCCGACTCGGGCTCCGGGATGATGGAGCTCAGCACCTGCTCACCAAAGAACCACAGCACGGCGAGGGGACGAAGCACATGAGCAAAAAGTACGTCATGCGCTGCATCTGCAGTCCGACAAGATGGCGGTGACCCGAACCGTACGCCTGCGCGCAGAGGGTGTCGAGACTTGTTGCGAGGCCCTGGAAGGGCGCGTAGACGGTGATCGAGGCCGTCATGGTGGACAGGCTCACGGCGCCGAGTTCCATCCTGCCAATGCGGCCGACCGCGAAGATGGCGACGACGTTGACCGAATACTGCAGCATGAAGGTGACGATGAGCGGGCTGGCATACTGGACAATGGTCTTGGCCTCGCGCTGCCAGGTCGTACGGAGCTGACCCGTCGCGACTGCCGCTTCCCACTGCTCGTTGAGGTGCTCGTGGCCATCCGCGTCCGGCGCCGGGGTCGTGCCAGACAGCAACGGGGTCGCTTCGGTGGGCCGGCGGACAACAACCCGCGGCGCCTCTTCATCGTGAGGCTCCAGCGGGACTTTGGTGCTGAAAAGGCGTCTGTAGGCACGGCGGTAGAACGGTTCACTGTCTGCGCGAGGGGTCTTGGGCGGTAGGATGTGGTTGTCTCGAAGAAGACTCCGCTCGGCGTCGCGCGACTGCTTCTTCTCGACCCTGGTGAGAACCGGCGGTTCTTCGACTGCATATGTCTGCGGGTTCATGACGGGCCGAGAGGTACCAAAGGCCACACCGCTGGGCCGCCGGTAGAATAGAGGGCCCTCTTCCGATTCGGACTCGGAGGCGGAACCGATGGCGTCGTCGTTGTCGTCGGGGTTCTCCTCGTCTGAGCACTCTGCCAAATCCCTGGCCAATATCTCCTGTGCCTGTGGTGTGCCGACGCGGAACGACGAGCTGAGTTGGGCGACAAAGTCGCGGCTCGAGGAGGCCTTAATGGGGATGCTGTGGTCGTCGCCCATGGTGACGGTTTTGTGCCACTGGCCCAACTCTTGATGCTGATGTAGGTGGAAAGGAGAAAAGTCCAGGTGTGTCCTCTTGGTTCAGAGCTCTGGGCCAATCGAGCTTCGTTCTACTGCCCGGTGGTTCAGAGATCGTCAGCAATGGCGTAATCAGCTAGTTTCTTCTAACCACCGATCTGCTCTTGTTTCGGCACTGCGTATTTCGGGTCTGGCGTGAGACGATGTTGTAGCCAAAGGTGACAAGAATGCGTGTTCCGAGACCGGTGTGTTATCGGTGACTCCAACCCCTCCGAAATGTAGGACGGGTTGCGCTCGCCCCAAGATATATGCCACACGTTGCAGACTATCCACCCGCACAAGTTGTGAGTGCGCGGCAGATGCAATGATGGTATGGTCTCCTCGTGAGGTTCGTCCGTCTCACCTACTCGACAATTCTCTTGAGTAAAAGCAAAGATAGGAGAATACTCGGCGAGTGAGGTGGGGGGGGGGGGGGGGGGGGGGGGGGGGGGAGTATAGGAGGCGGAGAGACTGCGTGTAGGGAATAGATAGGGAAGTCGAACGCGGCGGCGTCGGTATAGTTCCCGAGGCAAAAGCTGGGGAACCAGACCATCTTTAACAAGAAATGATACGGAGGCGCGCCTCGCACCGGCGCATGGAAAACAAAGATGGAAAGGGATTGGAGAGGTCCTTTCCAAGGGTCCTTTGCCTAGGCCGTTGCTAGCTGAACTCTTGGGTGGTTCCATGGGTCCGCGATTGTGACTTGGCTTGGTTGCCCACAGAGCGGCTAGATTCGCCTGTGTCCACTCTGTACATTGCGCTATCCACTTCTTTGCAGAAATGGCAGCGGGCACCTTGCATCACACCCTCTCCGCAAAGCGCAACAGCGCGCACTTGCAGCTTACAGACGAACCCTCGAATTCTACACTGGAACAAGACAGACCTTCAAAGGGCGCACATCACAAGCAGCTGCAGATCGATGCCAATCCAATCGCCAATCTGTCTGACTCACCCGGCCAATGACAGACCACTCAGTACCAGGTTACCTCGAGGTACGCTCCTTGGCATCCGGCATCGGTTCGCATAAGCCTGTGAGACACTGGGTACGAGCAACCATCAGCAACCGTGCCGTGTTGCCTTTCCAATTATCACGAGAAAAGCGATTGGAAGCGTAATACATAGCCCGCTAGATAAGAGAGCAGGTAAGAGGAGCCCAGAAGACAAAGCAGGCGGCGGCTGACCTCCCCGCTCCGCCGCGGCGACCGGGACCCCAGGATCTCCATCAACCATCGCTAACAATACAGAGCATCCAACCAACGGATCCGACCCTCAATGGAGAAGGCTCGCATCATGCATCGTGCGACCCCCTCCTCGGCGGCATCCGTGCTTCGGAGGCTTCGTGTCCATCGCGTCCACCCTGCTTTTTCTCAACACCTCCGTTACCACAACCCCATCGTGCCCAAGACCTGACTGCGACAGAGGCTGAGCAGAGTCCATGTCTCGCTTCGGTGCTCTACACTACGTGGACAGCCAATGACGGACGTCGATGAATCAACATTCGTCTCGCCGCCACCCCAACCTCCACCAGTACACTAGTGGAAGAGGGAAGACTGAGACCGCCCCTCCGTTGCTTCGCTTACATAGGTAGTAGGTATCGGACAGGGTGCACACGGCCACTGCTACTCAGCCTGGTTTAGCTCTTTACCCATCAAACGTCAACCCATGTTCCTATCTGTCCCGTCCCTCCCCCCGTATCGCTTACAAGCAATATCCCACCACTGCCATTGTGACGTTCATTACGTACAAGCAAGACGTCTTTTGTCCACGAGGGCCAATATCTCGATGCTGTCTGTCTCAGATAGGTGTCTGATTGTTCTTGATATGCCTCGGTTGCCTGGCAGAAAATTTCCCCAATGACCCGGTTCCAGTCGAGAACATCTGGGTGGCCGTCCATAGACCCTTGGCCCAATGGGCGTCTGTTCGTGCCGGTAAGATTTTCCGTATGGGGCAAGAAGGAAGCAGTTTGGTTCCCCCATGGTATGCTGCCATGTTTACCCCTCGCCTCACCGAAAGTCGGGCCTGTCTCACCGCCATCTACCATAAAACATTCATCACGGGGCATTTGTATTTTTAAAGAAATAACGATACACCTTTCGTACGCACACGTCCGCTGAGAACTCTGTAACAATCTGAAACGCCTTTTCATTGCAGTAGCTGATCCGTCTATTCATGTGGGATCTCATCTGTCTGATGCCATTCCGAATGCCACTCACAGACGCAGAATTACTATACAGTGTATCGTGTCCCAGTCCCAAGCCTGAACCTACGATCCCCCAAGACCCCGTAACACCCCTAAGCCATCTATTTGTCCTCCACCCAGTCGGGGTTCTGTCCATCGTTAGCGTCATCCACTGCCCCTAACATATCTTCACGCAAAGCTTACCTTCTTGAGAATGACCAGTCCCTCTAGTGTGCTGTTCAAGCTGATGTACTGCTCGTCCTCAAGCTCGGCACGCTCGCCGTACGCCAGGACAACCGGCGTGCTCTGTGTTTGCCACCCGGTGATAGTCTTGGGACGGCCCGCCTGGCCAACAACATCCACTGCCTGACCAACGCGCACGTTGACCTTCAGAGGCTTCAGGTCCTCGTCCAACGTCACCAAGAAACGAGGATGCATCGCCGTTACCAGGAAGTAGAGTAGGTAGTGTGAGTTGGAAGTGATGAACTGCTTGGCATCAATCATGGCAACCAGCACCGCCAGCAAACCACCCGCCGACACGCGCGAAAGAACGTTACGGTCCGTGTGGAATGGGTTGACCGACATCGTCCCCTTGCCCATGTGCAGCAGGCCCTGGGCGATCCGCACCATGAAGAGGGACTCTTGGTCGCGGTGGTAGAAGCTGGCCAGCTGCCTGAGCAGCTGAGCCAACCTAGCATTGTTCGTACCCGCACCCAGTAGGCCCATGGCGAAGATGGCGTTGATGGCCACGTCGTTGTCGTTGTCGTGGGAGTATCTTGACAGGGTGTCGTAGACCTTCATCTGGGGGTTGCTAGGGCTGATGAGACCCATGGCAAGGGGGACCGCCCTCCTGATGTTGGGCTCGCCATAGTGCATCAGGTGGCCGAATTGGCGAAGAACCATCTCCTGGCCAACGTCCTCTCCCATAGCGACAAGAGCGATACCAATCACAGCGTAAGACTGGAGGAGCTCATCGCCCTTCTTCTCGTCCGAGTCTTCAATGTGCTCGTTGCAAATGTGCAGGAGCTCTTGAATCTTCAGAACAGCGCCAGTACCGGCCCAGGCGCAGATCTCAGCCAGAACGGCCGTGGGCTTTGCCATCGGGTGGTCGACAGCCTTCAGGGTCTCCAGAATGACGTCAACCTCCTCTTGACGGCCAAAGAAGAGCAGGCCGAGACCGAGAGCAAGGAAGCGAGTCCACTTGTCGGTGAGCTGGTTCTTACGCTCATCGTCGAGCAGAGTAGTGACGATGGCCTCGCTGATTTCAGGGTTGGATGAACCAACAAAGATGAGACCGCACGAAAGAGCGGCCATGGCGGAGATCTGCATCTCCTGAGAAGAGTCGGTGATGATGGGCAGTAGAAGCTCCAAGAGGAGTTCGTTGTTCGATCCAGCATAAGATAGACCCAGACCCATTATACTGGCAGTCCTGACGAGAGGATTCTTGTGGTTAAGTTTATCCTCATCACCCAGCAGGGCCAAGGCGGGCTCAGAGTCGACACGGGCTCCAGAGTTCATAATACCAATAGCAAGCATCGAACCGGCCAGAATCTCAGGCTCCGCAGCGTAAGTGTACTTGTCGATCTTGTCCAGACCAGCCTCGACATCCCAAAGAAGCAGAGTACCCAGAGAAGCGACAGTTGACATCATGCCGTCGCCCTTAGTCTTCCATACCCAACTCTCCTTATCTTGCTCCACCAACATCATCTTGTCATTGCCAAAACCGGCGTTGACAAAGGCATTGACGAAGGCAGCTGCCAAGTTGTGGCGGGCGGAGTCGAGGTTGGTCATACCCGCGACACGGCTGCTCTCCAGGTGGCTCTTGTAAATGTCCTCGGTCGTCTTGGGGTCCAGGATGTTAAGCTCCTTGCCCAGGGACTTGAAGTGGTCGGACAGCTTCAGGTTAGACAAGCACTCGACAATTGCTTGCGAGTCGGCATCGTCAGCAGGAAGATCCAGAACAATGCGTTGACGCGCAATCAGGAAGGCGAGTTGCTTCTTCAGGGCCGGGTCCTCGGCCTTCTCGAAGTCGGCCTTGATGAGGTCGATGTCGTTGAGGCGGATAGCAAGCGTCATTGCCAGGGCGTACTCCTTGTATGTCAGGTAGATGTCGTGTGCGGTCTTCAGGAAGAGCTCATTGTCGGGGTAGGTAAGCAGGTTGACCATGCTGACCATATACAGACACACGCGGCCATAAGTGTTCTCGTCCAGGTAATTGGGGATCTGGTCAATGATCTCAAGCTCGCTCATCAGATCGACGGCGTCAGCCTCAGCGTTGCTCTGCAAGAACAGGGGAATAAGGATCAGAGCAAGGTCGACCAAGTCCTTTGTCGGTTCGTCGGCATTTATCCGCTTTCCATAAACCTCACCAATCTCCAAGGCCAGGTGCCGAGTGTACTCGTGGCCCCACGATCCAATATCGGATGAGGGTGCCAGTAGGCGGTACTTGAGGGTGTCTTGTCGGTCCTCGTCAGAATACGTCATACCGATTACTGACAAGACATCTGCGAGCGAAGTCTTGTTCTCGCCCGCCGGCCACTCCTCATGCAGTTTCGTCATCGTCTCGTAGTGTGGTCTGAGGAATTTGAGAGGCTTGGGCACAGCCGTCATTGACGAGGTTGAGGTCTTGATGAAGGTCTTCATGGCCTCCAGGGCCGGCTTGTAGAGGGATGCATCGGATTCCTGCAATGAATTGTCAGCGCCCGGACCCCAATGACGAAGATAGCAACGAGGAACAACGCACCGTCAAGCGCTCAACGAGCATGTCCAGCTCATTCTTCAGCTGCTGGTCCTCCTCGCTGAGCTCCTCCGCGGCTGCAAACAGTTAGCCCCTCCTCTCCTCCAGATAATGCCCGGACTTCTCTCACAGTCGATAATCTTCTCATCCTCCTTCTTGCCGTTGACTTGGGGCTTTTCCTTCTTGTTGTCCTCCACGGCCTTTCCCTTGCCCTTGTCGGCAGCGGTAGGCTTCTCGCTGTCCTGCGCCATCTTGACGTAAGTGTGTGACCTCTTTGCGGGGTGTGTGTGTCCTCGAGATTTCGGTCAAGAATGAGCGCGGATGTTTCTGTGTTTCTTCAGAAAAGCGAGATCGGATCGATGGTCTGCGGATGGGGAGGATAGGATCGCGGGTGGTTCGAATCGTGAGGGATGGAGGATGATGGTAGCTTTGTAAAGCTAAGCAACGAGTCGAAGCTCCCCGGTTACGCGAGCGCCTTGCCGCCTGCAGACGGTGCCGGGAAAATGGAAGCTCCGGTATTTATGGGTCCGAGCACCAGCCGGTCCTATTGGGGAAGGCGGTGGCCAAGCGACTCAACCCATTCGGCGCTCCCTTATCGATAGCCGTCTCTCCCACCAGAAGCCAACTTTTTCCAGCACAGAGTGGGGTGAATGAGGTTCATCAACGGAGTCCTATATTTCTGCCATCAACGAAGTAAAGCGATTTGACATTGGCCCGACTTCGCAAAGATCTGCTAGGACGATCGCGACGACTTCAAGATGCATTTGGACACCAAAGCACTGCGCCACCTGGCCGCTGAGGACTGGCGCGTCCTCGCAGCGGTTCGACTCCTTACCCCTCCATGACCCCTCGCAACCCACTTACATATCCCCAGGTCGAACAAGGCACGAAGAACCACGAGTTGGTCCCGACACCGCTCATCGAGAAATTGTCGCGCCTCCGCGGCGGTGCAAATGGCGTTCACCGGTCCATCTCGAATCTCGCCAAGGTCGGCCTCATCGCTAAGGTCAAGGAGGCCAAGTACGACGGTTACCGCCTGACATATGGCGGTCTCGACTACCTAGCGATGCATACGTACTCAACTCGCAAGGAGGTCTACAGCGTCGGCAGCAGAGTTGGTGTCGGCAAGGAGAGTGACATTGTGATGGTAGCCGACGACAGAGGCATGCAGTGCATCCTCAAGATCCACAGATTGGGCCGTATTTCCTTCCGGACAGTTAAGTCAAACCGAGACTACCTCAAGAACAAGCAGTCCGGATCGTGGATGTATCTGTCGCGGCTTGCAGCAATGAAGGAGTTCGCTTTCATGAAGGCTCTGAAAGAGGAGGGGCTTCCCGTACCCGAGCCCATCGCACAAAACCGGCACACCATCGTCATGTCCTTCATCGACTCGTTTCCTCTTCGCCAAATCTCCTCCATCCCCGACCCTGCTACACTCTATGCTGAGCTGATCGATTTGATCCTCCGCTTGGCCAAGCATGGACTCATCCACGGCGACTTCAACGAGTTCAACATTCTCATCAAGGAGGAGACTTCCGTCACCAAGACGGATGAAGGAGAAGAAGAGACAATTAAATTGATCCCGATAGTCATTGACTTCCCGCAAATGGTTTCAATGGACCATCAAAACGCCGAGATGTATTTTGATCGAGATGTCGACTGCATCAAGCGCTTTTTCAACAAGAGGTTTCACTTTACTAGCACAACCCCCGGACCGTTCTACAAGGACGCCAAGAAGCTTGTTGGCAAGGGCGGCGTCAAGAGGATAGATGCGACCTTGGAAGCATCAGGGTTCACAAAGAAGATGGCCAAGGACCTGGAAAAGGCTATCCAAGAGCAGGCTGCATCCAAGGGTGATGAAGGTGACCTTGGTGGCGACGAGGACGAGGAGTATGGCTCCGACGAAGAGGATGAGGAAGAGAGCGAGGAGGCAGCTGACGGTGAGGAGCCCACTGAGCCATCAGCAAGTGGAGAGGGAGAGGATGCATCAAAAAATGGCAAGGAAAAAGATGACATTGATACCCAAAAGTTTTCAAAGCTGGCAATAGCAGACGGGGCATGAGCCATCAGTAGACATGATGACATGATGAAGAATTGTTTTACCATTCTTTCAAAGCGCCTCTTGAATACTGAGATGTAAATCTGGTGGGAATGTTGCGTCAACGCGAAGTCTGGCACTGAAGGTTTTTTGAAGACCTGTGACACATCATGTTCTCTCAACGACATCGTGAGTCTCTGGCAAAAGGGGGGGTAAAAGGTAACGCCGTAGGGACTTTTGCGCCTCCCAAAAGAACTAACGTAAGGTACAAGAAGAACTAAAGCTGGCCCATGCGAGCTCCGTGCACCTAGAGTATCAACTACCTCAGAGCATAAGATGTTCCCTGATCAAAACCATACTGCCATGTGCTATGACGCAGAATACCCCTAGTCCCACACAACGGCCAATGATGTACCCCGAAAATTCAAATGCTCCTGATAATCTTGATTCACTTTTGCTCCTTCTTCGAGATTGGGGAAGACTGGGTGCTGACGATGACGGGAGTGGCCGAGTCGGCATGGATCGTTACGCCTTCGTCACTGTCGTCAGACGCGGCCTCGACAACGGTTGTCTCCGCGGATGATCTGAACAAGCAAGTTAGTCAAGAAGAATGCTCCAATGGCGAGGGTGGTCACCGTACTGGGGATTTCCCTGAACAGTGCCCGCCTGGTAGCCATCAGACTTGACCATCTTGCCCATTCGATCAAGACCGCCAGTCATGGAGCGAGGTGCATAGCCGCTGAGTACAATCAGTTACTGGAATTTGAAGGCAGACTTCAGAAATACTCACGCGTTGGCGGTGGCATGCAGAGCACGCTTCCAGGCTGGCTGGTTATACATGTTGGGCTGAATGCCAACAAGAGGAGTGCCGTAGGCACCAATGTTGTACTCGTTAGTGCGGAACTGTCGGCGCTCGGCGGTCACCCGCTTGAGCTCCTTCTGACTAGGAGTGTCGGCGTAGCGGATGTTCATCACCATTCCCTCCTCGCCGATGGGGATGCTGTTGAACTGCTTAATGACAGCATCGCACACGTCGCGAGACTCGAAACTAAAATCTTGTTAGAGTCCATCGGTTGGAGCCAACAAAATAGTCACATACCGAGCGAAGCCAACACCGCGGCTATTGCCCATACTGTCACGAAGGATCTTGGACGACATAATGTGGTAGCCTCTGAAGATGTCCCCGAGGTCCTGAGTTTGTCAGCAAGCATGAACGCTCCCAAGCCAGCAAATGAGCAGAAGAAACCCACATTCTCGGTCAAACTCTTGGGAAGGTTAGAGATGTACAAGTTGGTGGAACCCTCGTCGCCCTCAGCCTTGAGGCGAGAGTTGAAAGATTCCTGCTCAAAACGTCAGACACGTAGCAAGACACGGTTGGAAGACTGCACTTACACGGGCGAATCCAACTTCGTAACCAAGACGGTGGAAACCTCGAATACACATTTCAGAGTCGCGGACGTGATAGAACTTGGCAAAGCCGAAACTTCATTATGTCAGTAAAGGAAGAAAACATCGAAAAAAACGTGGGCCGACCTCACCCCTTGCAAGCACCCGTGGAAGTGTCAATGATTGCCTTGGATGTCTCGACGTCGCCAAAGCGGGCTGCAAACCGAAACAAGAGGTCGTCGTCAGTGGTTGGGTGAAGACCACGAATGTAGACGTTTCGGTTACCCGGGATACGGTTCTCCAAACTCTGATCCAGAGTCTTCATCTGGGTGGCGGGGGTGAACACAGCGGGAACGGCCTTGGGCACAGCGGGATCCTGCTTGAGAAGTTCCTCCAAGTTGCGGTCAACGGGGATGTTGATGACGCCCTGCTTGGAAGCAGGTTCAACGAAGATGTTGCCGCCGACAACTTGCTGGGGAGAGGGCGTGGTGTACGTCGATCGGTCGAGCGCAGCGACACGAGGAACCTTGTCGTTCTTGCTAACTCCGTTGTAGAAAGGAGTTGTAGGAGCGGATTCGGTGGTGGTATAGGAGCCACCACTGTGACGACGGTTTTCGAGGCCTGGCAAGTCATTGTGGCCGCGATTGGTACGGTCCTGGAGAGCCGTGCTACCGCTGACAGCACGTCCGGGGGTGAATGGCATCATTGGGTATGGGACGTATGGGCTGAACTGTCCGGGCGCCGCCAAGTAGCCACCGGGGGCGGGACCATACGGACCCTGGGTGAGATGCTCCATTCCCATGGCAGAGGGCAGATGGGAAGCGAGTATGTAGTCCTGTGGAAGCATGTATGTGTGGGCAGTAGCCATCTGTCCTATACCGCTGGCGTTGTGGGACATGCCGTTGCCCAAGGTCATGCCCTGAAACTGGCTGATGGCGCCAGCCAAGGAGTCAACGCCGCCCATCATGCCGGCCAACTGGTTCTCGGGGAACTGGGTAACGTGATTGCCGGGGATGTGGTGGTTGCCGGCACTGGCAAATGCGATAGAGTGCTTGGGGTCCATGGTGTGAGTCTGATAAGACATAGTCATGTCTGAAGTCTGGGGAAAACAACTGTCAACGATCCATCGCTAGAACAAAATGCACCCAAACGAGAGAAAAACATCAAGGTATAGGGACGGAGTGGCAGCCGGAGAGTGGACATAGAGTTTAGGGGTACTTCGGATGGGACTGTAGACTTACTTGAACGAGGCCGAACGCTTGCAAGATTGGAGAAGAATCTTCGGGCAGGAGATCCCGATTATCGAGACTGCTAATATGTTAGCTAAAAGTATTCAAGCGACCTGGATATGCGTTGTGTGCAGGGAAGATGGCGATGATGCTGGCCAAGACTTGATTTCAAGAGACGTTGGAGGCTGGAAAATGGACATGTGTTTGCAGGGTGCCTTTCAAAGTGGTCTGAAATCCAAACAAACAGTTCAGGCTCGACTAGCAAAGAAAGGATCATCTCAAAGAGATCAAAAGGAGGCCAGGAGATGTGCGGATAAGAATAAGATGTTCGAAAAGGGGGCTGATTGGTCCAGGATATGGATGCTGTCACACTTACCTTTGCTGTCTGGAGATGAACAGAGGCTTGGAATCAGGAAGGGGGGCTCGGTCAACGTCAACAATGGCAAATGTTGTTACCAAAGACTCTGTGAAGAAGCGAGTGATCAGTAAAAAGATGGAACAAGCTATCGGGAGCAATCCGGAGCCGAAGAGACTGTGTGGTGGGTTGAAGAAGTGCGGTGGTGATGCTGGGGTGGAGAGAAAGATGGAAGAGGAAGAAGAGAGGAAAACCAAAGGGGAAGATAAAGGACAACCAGAAGAGGGATTACCTAAGGATGCTCTCTTTCTCCTTTGGTGACTTTAGATCGATTTAGACGGAGAACCCGGAAGGAAGGGTTGAAAGGCGATTGCTGTGGGAAGAGATGTTGACGAGGGTAAGAACAAGTTCGGTGACGACGTAGGCAGAGAAGGTGATAGGACCACTTAGGGACCTAGCACTGAAAACCTGGGTCTGCCGAGAAGGGGAGGACAGCCGGCCAGGACCTGAACCGCTGCTGTGCTTTGCTGCTTCCTCACGTTAGCAATTGCCCCGAATGACGTGCTAGAGCATCCATACATTCCTTCCATGACTGGAAATAGAGGGCAAGTAGAGGCGGACGTACATGGAAAGTTACCTTGAGGTGGGACACACCAAGCACTCGATTCCCTCTTCCGTGTCTTTTCACAGTTTCCTCGATGTCGATGTTTCCTCCGAAATCCAGAGTTTTCTGGCTTATGAGAGTTCCTTCTCGAGAAGGCAAACCAATAAAGCGAGCAGTAAGGGGGAAATGATGCAGTACTGCTTCGGGGCGGTGTCTCCTTCGAAATAACAGCTGTGCAGAGTTGGCTGACAATACTGGCTTGAGCAGCACTCGGGAATATGGCGCTCTCCCTGATCAGATACTTCGGAATTGTCTCCCAAAGACCCTTGGCGGTGCTGTATCCGGAAGTCTTCGAATCTCCTGATGCGCGTTTTTTTCGACAGGTGTGATAATCAGGAATTCCCCCTTGATCCAGTGAGCTTGATAGATTCGTAAGGATTCGGATTGGTCTCCGCGTGTATCCTCTTAGCCGATGATACTGGTGATGCTTGGGTTGTTATCTGTGACAAGACGTTGGAAATCTACAAATTGCGTCAGTCCTTGTCTATAACGAAGAGCAACATGGCTGATCAAACCGTTGGTCTAGATTTCCAACCTAGTCTTCCGTTATATCGTCCAGAGCCAACGCCGAAGCTGCTGCCGACCTCAAAGTGTGTGCGAGCGATACGCAATAAGGCGTCTGTGTCGAACCGTTTCTCCAACGTATGCCCCTAAAGACGAAGCTGCAAGTACCCAAATCGACAAGGAAATTCCCATATTAGAATGCAACCGCCATGCACCGTCCGTTTGTCCTAAGAATACCGGGTAACCGTTCAACCCACGAAAGATCAGTCGGGCAAGAGAAAATCTATCTGGATATTATTTTCCGAACTAACAGGAAAATGGTTCGGCGGTCGAGGAGGGTCATTGCTCGTCTTTATGGAGGTTGCTCTCCCCAGTTGCTTTGCGGCTCGCTACGCTTGCCCTGCAGCCAAGCGTGGTTGTCATAAAGTGCTGATCCACCCAACTTGTTTCTTTTCTTTCCACTGATCTCTGAGACAGGGTTAGCGTCGAGAATGGAAAGTTGCCGGCCGAGATTCAGGAAATCGGGCTGTCTGATGTCTCTCTTGGGATGCGGCCGCCCTGAGGCCCAGAGAGCAACCTGTGGTTGATCACCACCGATCCAGGTGTTCACTTTCAACCAATGACTGCTTGCAAACACATCGCATGTAGCACTCAGTTTGGGAAGACACACCCGGCGCCCACCACCACACCAGACGCATGCTGTAGAAACTGACTGGCCAGCTGATTTCTGCCAGTCTCGATCCCCGGGATCAAGGGTTCAATCCGCTTCCAAGACGAGGCAGCCCACTCAACTCCTTCGCTATTGGGTTGCAGACAGGAGTTATCTGCAGTTTGGCGACCACGGAGAGACGGTTCGTCCACAGTCGATGGCCCTCGCTTTCCTTTTTTTTGTTGAGATTCTTCCACTTGAAGACGAAACAGGGCCTAGCCGCGTTTGGATTAGAAAGTATGCGGCCTGCAACTCACGATGGTCTGGGGCTGGCGTAATCTGGAGCGTTGGCGTTGGAGGAAGCACAGAGTGACCAGACATGGCGTGGCGGGTACCTGAGACCATATTCGAGGCACATGGCAGAAGAATGCTTGGGAAGTAAGCCTTTCCGAGGCTTTGGATCTCTGCCCATGCTTCTGCCCGCTTGCGGATAATCCAGGGTATGTTTCTTCTTTTAGTTTTGTGATAGGGTTGACGAACAGCTCTTTAGACGACCATCTGCCGCTGCCCGTTGACGACATTCCCAAGAAGACAAACAGCAATCTGTCCAACCGTAAGGTTTGCATGCCAGCTTTCACATCGAACTCACTCAGACCAAGCCAAAAAAAAAAAGTGCTTCTGATTTGAGCAGGCGCCCTGCGTTTGGCCCAACCTGAAGACTAATATGCTCGTTCCCTGCTAGTGCAGACAAGGAAAAAGCAATGTCGTGGGGTGTGGGAGGAGATGACCGTGCCGCCTTTTTCACGCACATGATGAGACGAAGCCGACTCCAAGATTTGCAAGGGGCCTTCGCCTGGTTTCTTTTGGAGCGGGTTGGTGGTTCACGCCCGTGGCGAGATATCGACATATTTTGCGAGGTTGTAAGAGAGTTGAGGCTGAAGACTTTATGTGGCAGCGACAAGCGACATAGCGACCTCCACACGTCCCGTCGCCCTTATTTCCCATGTTTCTCCCAGCAATTTCACCCGCTTCGGCTGGTCCGAACTTTCGGTACTGCAGTGGGTAGTCAGTCCAGCTGTTGCCACACTTCGGCGAACTGCGGGAGATTGAGGACGAAGTGCTAAGTAACCCCTCGCTTCGAGCGGTGTCTGGAATTGGGCAGCCACATTTCTGCAAAGCGAATATTAGGATGACAGATCTCTTGGGATCTCCGTCGTTCGAAGTGGCGGTAAGCAAAGCCTGGGCTGCCAGGCTGCAGCCTGGCTGGGGCGGCGATCGGATCTTGCAGCTGCAGACGAGGATAAATGGTAAACATCGGTCTGTTATTGCAGCTTGCAGCAACATACGGGCGTGGGAGTGTTGCTGGACATCGCTCGCTGCCCTGTACTTCTACTGCTTCGGTTGCATAGCTCCAGGACGATGCCCCCTCGCCATAGCTGTCAGGAGAACAAAAAAACTAATCAGTTGACGAATGAGACCCGTCTAACAAGCAAGACACAGGTTGGGCGTAGACGCGGACGATGATCCGGAAGAGCGCTGACCAGTCAGTCGCGCCAGGCCTGTCGTGCCATTTTGCGCCCTGCTTCGGCGGTCTTGCAGTCATGCCGACTTGTCATGTCTCAAACTCCTTCCTCGAAACCTCCACCGCCAAGACGAAGACTGCTTTTGCCGGGGCTCTGAGTACTTGATAGGGACGATGGAGGGCTCGGTCGGACAATGGCTGCGAGGCGCTGGGAAAAGCAGACGATGGCCCAGGGATCCCGTGACCGTTACGAAATCGACCAAGGCGGGGTGCGTTTGTCGGTTCGCCGGTCTCGTCCGTGTTTTACTGTTATTCCCGGACATGTTGTTATTCCTCATTTGCTTTTCCTCCCCTGGTCTTGCAATATATCCATCCCGCCGCTACAGCAGATCGGATCGAGGGGAATCTTGGTCAGGATCGGAGAGTTGCTGCGTGGGGGTGACAACCCATGCCGGGCCGGGGGTTTCTTTCATGGTCCCAACTTCACGATGGCGGAGGAGGATGAGATGAGGAGCAGGGGGGAGGGGCAGAGATCCTCGAAGAGCGTTGCTGTTCTCGTTCACCCAATGTATACCCCGGTCACCGAGTTGGCTCGCCGGCAAGCTAACAAACTTGGCAGTACTCTGTACACACTAAAGGGAATCATTGCGGGGAGTCGTGGTATTTGGTTCGGATGGCGTCCCGCCCCGATGGCTGATAGCCCTCAGCCCACCTCCGACTCGAAGGTCCGCCACTCACTCTCGCACCGGGCGTCGGCAGATATCACGCACATATAGCTACGACAGACAGGCCCCTCGCTGCAGATGCGTTTCCACCTTAGCTGTGTTTCGATCCGACAAGTGATTGTTGAACATATGACGGAGGCGGCGGTGTGATTGGTTTCCCATGCACTCCCCTATCCCCAAGTGGTTCAAGGGAGGAAATGAGGTGGGATGTCCTAATTCGACGAGGACGAATCATGCCTCTGCAACGAACATGGTCTTTGCATCTGCCCGTCTCACTAGCACCGTGCTGACCGCTCTCTCTCTCTCTCTCGCACGCGCGGGGGTCCTCCCTTACTTCAAGCATACCAGACAATAAGGTCGGTGAACAGTGCATCGCAATGGTGCACGATTCTCACACGTGGGAAGTCGTGGACGA